GTCATCTCACAAAATGAACGTCTTAATTAAGGCAAACACATGGGCAATTATGAAAGCTATTATTAACAACAGTGGATTGTAACTCCACTTTTTGTTTTCTACATGATTTAATAAATTAATACATTTAAAAAAAAGCAATTATTAGTCTGAAAGCTACTAGTATTGTAATTTTTGTTTGTAGCTCCAAATCTTGTTTTCTACATTATTTAGGAGACTAATAGATTTAAAAGAATCATTAGTTTGTGTTTTGGGGCACACAATGTATAAATACATGTTTTTGTGACCAGTAACCAAAAGGGGTGGGAAAGAAGCTATAAAAGAGCAGAGTTCTTGTATATTATTGAAGTTAAGCTGCTATAAATTCAAATTAGAGTATTATAACTTTAGAATGTTAATATAATCTCCATGGAACCACAAAGAAAATAATAATGGAATATATACAATAGGAAATTAGAAAAGAATTTAAGCATTTCACTACAAAAAAACCAACTAAACACTAAAGACAACAATAATGCAGGAAATGAGGGACAAAAAAAGCTACAAGGCATATAGAAAACAAATAGCAAAATGACAGTAAGCCCTTCCTTATCAGTGCTTACTATAAAAGTAAATGAATTAAACTCTCCAAAAGACATAGATTGGCAGAATGGGGAAAACCACATGATCCAACTACATGTTATCTACAGGTGACTCATTTTAGATCCATAGATGCAAATAGATTGAAAGCGAAAGGTTGGGAAAAGATATTCCATGCAAATAGTAAACAAAACAGAGCAGAGGTCGCTATAGTAATGTCAGACAAAACAGACTTTAAATTTTAAAAGTTTCCAAGAGACAAAGACAGGTAGTATATATTAATGAAAGGTTCAATATAGCAATAGGTGTTAAAATTATAAACATTTATACACCAATGACAGACTATCAAAATATATGAAGCAAAAATGGACAGATGAAGTGAGAAATGGACAGTTCTACAGTAGTTGTTGGAGGCTTCAATATCCCACGCTCAGTAATGGATAGAACAACCAGAGAATATAAGTAAGGAAATAGAGGACTCAACACAATAAACCAACTATATTTAATTGGGATACGCAGAACACTCTACCCAATAACAACAACACTATTAAATCTCAGTAGATTTTAAGAGATGTACAAAATATCTTCTCTAGCTGTAACAAGTTGAAGTTAGATATCAATAACAGAAGTAAAACCGGAAACAGCAATTTTTTGGAAATTAAACAACACAGTCTTAAACAACCAGTGGATCAGTGAAAAAGTTTTATTTTTCAGTAGCATCAGAAGAAATACTTAGGAATTAACTTAACCAAGGAGGCAAAAGACTTGTACAGTGAAAACGTCAAAACATTACTGCAAGAAATTAAATATATAAACAAATGGAAACACATCCCATATTCAAGGATTGGAAGACAATCTTAAGATGTCAGTACTACACAAAATGATCTACAGATTCAGTGCAGTCCTTATCAAAATACTGATGACATTTGTTTTGCAGATAGAAAACCCCATTCTAAGATTCATATGGAACCTTAAAGGACCCCAAATAGCCAAAGTAATCTTGAACAAGAAAAACAAAGCTGGAGGACTCACACATCCTGATTTCTAAACTTACTGCAAAGCTACAGTAATCAAAACAGGTTGGCACTGGAATAAAAACAGAAATAAGCCCTTACATACATGATCAAATGATTTTTGTCAAGGATGCTGAGACCATTCAGTATGGAAAGGACTGTCTTTCAACAAATGGTACAGAGAAAACCGGATATCCACGTGCGAAAATATGAAGTTGGAACCTCACCTAACACCGTATGCAAAATTTAAGTCAAAATGGATCAAAGATCTAAATATAAGAACTAAAACTAAAACTCTTAGATGAAAACATAGGGCAAAAGCTTCATGACTTTGGATTTGGCAATGATATCTTGCATATGACACCAATGGCACAGACAACAAAAGAAAAAATAGACAAACTAAAGTTCATGAAAAATTTAAAATTTGGATATTAAGAGGTAAAAATTTTCAGTCACAAAATGAGTCCTCAGTGTGAAATGTACAGTGTGGAGAGTATGGTCAGTAGTTATGTAATAGCTTTGTTAGGTGATCCTTTTGAAATGTATAGAAATGTCAAGTCACTATGTTGTGTACCAGGAACTAACATAGTGTTGAAGGTCAGTTATATTTCAGAAACAAATAAGCTCATAGAAAAAGAGATCAGATTTGTTGTTACTAGAAGTGGGGGCCAAAAGAAGGGGAATTGATAAAGGCAGTCAAAAGGCACAAACTTCCAGTTTTTAGATAAGTAAGTACTGGGGATGTAATGTATAACATGATAAAGATAGGTAACACTGCTGTACATTATATATGAAAGTTGTTAAGAGAGTAAATTCTGAGTTCTCATCACAAGGAAAAAAATTTTTTTTTCTATTTTAAGCCCTAGAGTGGAACAACTTTAATTAAAAAATGTAACAGGTTGGGGCTTCCCTGGTGGCGCAGTGGTTAAGAATCCGCCTGCCAATGCAGGGGACAAGGGTTCAAGCCCTGGTCCGGGAAGTTCCCACATGCCACAGAGCAACAAAGCCCATGCGCCACAACTACTGACCCTGCGCTCTGGAGCCCGCGAGCCACAACTATGGAAGCCTGCATGCCTAGAGCCTGTGCTCCACAACAAGAAAAGCCAACACAATGAGAAGCCTATGCACTGCAACGAAGAGTAGCCTCCGCTTGCCGCAACTAGAGAAAGCACGCAGGCAGCAAGGAAGACCCGAGGCAGCCAAGAATAAATAAAGTAAATAAATAAATTTTTTTAATCTATATGCGGTAATGGATGTTCACTAAACTTATTGTGGTAATAATTCATGATGTATATAAGTCAAATCATTATGCTGTACACCTTAAACTTATATGATGCTGTATGTCAGTTATATCTCAATAAAACTGGAAGAAAACATAAAAATAAAAAATTCAGAGAAGTTCTATCCATTAGAGGCTCATAAAATTTAAAAATAAAATATTACTGTACTTTGAGAAAATTTTTGTATATTCTAAGACACTCAACAGAAAAAGGCAACCCACAGAATGGGAGAAAATGTTTGCAAATCACATATCTGATAAAGGATTAATATCCAGGGCTTCCCTGGTGGTGCAGTGGTTGAGAGTCCGCCTGCCGATGCAGGGGACACGGGTTCGTGCCCCGGTCCAGGAAGATCCCACATGCCACGGAGCGGCTAGGCCCGTGAGACATGGCCGCTGAGCCTGTGCGTCCGGAGCCTGTGCTCCGCAACGGGAGAGGCCACAACAGTGAGAGGCCTGCGTACCGCAAAAAAAAAAAAAAAAAAAAGATTAATATCTAGAATATATAGAGAACTCTTAAAACTCAACAGCCCAAAACTAAACAGCTGGATTAAAAAATGGACAATGGATTTGAATAGACATTTCTCCAAAGAAGAGATATAAATGGTCAGTTAGCACATAAAGAGACGCTCAATGTATGGTATAATATGTGTGAACTATGGGGACATTATGCTAAGTGAAATAAGCCAGTCACAATAGGACAAATACTGTATGATTCCAGTTATATGAGATACTTAGTGTTGTCAGACTCACATAGACAGAATGTAAAAGGGTTGTAGCCAGGGCCTGGTGAGAGGGGGAAATGGGGTGTTATTGTTCCATAGGTACAGAGTTTCAGTTTTATAAGATGAAAAAAGCTGTGGACATGATGGTGGTGATGGCTGCACAACATTATAAATGTATTTAATACCACTGAATTGTACATTTAAAAATAGTTAAGATGGTAAAGTTTGTTATGTGTATTTTACCACAATAAAAAAAATGTTCTGTGAGGTAAATGAAATTATACATAGTAAATAATAGATTCTTGTCCTTTGAGGGAGAACTTGATTTTTAAAAGAAGCTATAAGTTATGTGGGGCCTGGTTATTATTTGGAGGGTTTAACTTGTTATTAACATTTTTGATTGAGAGTAAGGTATAAAAATAATTTGGTAGGACTAATTTTTGGATGGCCGATAATTTTTTAAGATAATTTTGTGTTTATAGTAGAGGTGCAAAAATAGTACCTTGCATTTGTTTGTCATTTCTGTCTCCTACAGTCCGTGACAGTTCTTCAGTCTTTTCTTGTCTTTTCTGACCTTGGCATTTCTGATGCGAGCTGGTCAAATATTTTTTAGAATGTCCTTCAGTTGGGGTTTGATGATTTCTCTTGATTAGATTGAGGATATGCATTATTGGGAAGGATACCACAGAGGTGAGGTGCTGCCTTTCTCAGTACTTTTTAACAGGGTGTGTGTCATGTCAGTATGCATTACTGGTGACGTTAACCTTCATCATTTGGCTGTCTGCTAAGATCCTGTACTATAAATTTACTATTTTTTCCTTTGTAATTAGTAAATATTTGGGGAGAGATACTTTGAGACTGTGCTTATTAAACTTTTACCCACTAATTTTAGCATTCATTCATTTTTCTTGCCTATGGCAGTTATTTATTGTGGAGTTCTAATGGTGATTTTTATATTTGCCTCATTCTTTCTACATTTATTAACTGGAATTTTTTTGTTAGGAAGAGTTCCTTTTCTCCCCTTACAAATTTCTAGTCAAGTTTAGTTAAGATCCAGTTGAACTTTATCAGTGTATTTTAATTTGAGAGGGAAGGGTTTGTGCTTCTTCTGTAAGTTAAGGGCTGAATAGAATCTCTAAACTCAGTTCTCTGGTGCTTTATAGCATTTTACTTTCTAAAGTTTACTTTTGTGTGGTTCTTATATTTGTTATTTTTGAAGTAATTTTTTTTTGTGTGATAACCTGTGTGACTATTGAGATGATTTTTCTGATTTCAAGTATCTCGTCATAAGTTGGGGGAACATAGCAAAATTGTATTTTGTGTTAATATATGGTTTTAAATTTTATAATTTCCGTAACTAGTTTGGAATGAAAGCATACCTTTAACTTTTCTTTTTTTCTTTCTCAGGCTTGAAAAGGAATATACTACAATAAAAACTAAAGAAATGGAAGAACAAGTTGAAATTAAAGTAAGCGTCTTAGGACTTGTAAAAGTACTGAACATAAATTCATTAAAGTCAGTTATTTGGCAATAGATGTTATGTTGATATATTTATTACCTGTTATAAATTTAGCAATGATGTTTGTATTTATTTATTGATAAATTTACCATCCCACTAGATTATAGTTAAAAACAGACATTTCAAAAACTGATCTGAAGTGGTTTTTGTTCTAGTGTGAAAGAAAGCAGCTTCCTTTTTCTGGACTTATTGGTGGGTCATCAGGAGAAAATACTTCTTTGGGGAAGATAATTATCATTTCATTTAAGCATGTTTTAAAAAGTTATAGAGAATATAATCTGTAACATGCTGAGACTAACAGCAGTATAGTATAAAGGAGACCTAATAGAGTAGATCATTGCATTAGAACTAATTATGGCTGCCTTAAAGATGCATAAAGCTTTGACTTATTAAATTTTCTCATTGCTAACCAAAGATTATTTTTGAATTACTGTTCAGAGAAACACGTAGATTTTCAATTTGAAGGACATGTAAATTCCCACGTGTACCTTAAAATTCTTGTTTGTATCCCTGTAGGCCAGAAATTGTTGAGGATCTTTGGCATTGTGTGAGCTGGGTGTTAAGGAAAATTGAATTGGCATTTATGCTGATAGTTCAGGATGGGGATAATGAGTAGAAGCATGAGTTAGTGAAGGAACTCAGTGACTGGCTGATCCAATTCCTTACCTTTTATTTTCCCCCCAACTGCCTGAAAAAAAAAGAAAAGAAAAAAAGAAACAAAAAAACAAATTTATTGAAAGACTCCACTTAAAAAAAAAAAACTGTATATTTGGATGTGTCTGATTTTTTACTTCAACCTGGCAAGACATTTGATGACCATCTTATTTACAATTCCCTACCCGTGTATTAATTTAGCCTTGCTATAAAATAACACTTCCTTACTCACACCCCACATGCCTTTTTACTAGGGAATGGGTTCTGTTAAATTACTACTCTTTCTTACCATAATCCTGCTCAGAAGCCTTCTGGGAGACAGTCTCTTCCCTCATCAACTCTGTCTCGCTTTTATAGATGTTTTATTTCCGTTTCTATCACCTACTCACTATCTGTTGGAAATAGATACTTATACATTTTCTTCAGAGAGAGAGAGGAGGAGAGAAGGAAAAGATCCCTGTGGATGTTTTTCCCTCTTTTTTTTTGTTCTGTCACCCACCTGCTGCTGTACCATTTGCTTTTCTTTTAGGTTCCATGAGTAAGGGTAATATTAAATCATACCCTCCACTTCAACCTACTGAAAGTAAAAAGTACATCATCCTGATGAGTGGGGAGAGAGTATGGGTTATTGCATACCATGAATATTTGGAACTGCAAATCAAGAATCTGAGGATGGGGAAGCCATCCTGTTCATTTCATCATGCTTGTAGTTGCAAAAAATAAAAAAATAAAAATAAATTAACAGTTCTATGAACAATCCTTGCGCTTGAAGAAGTTTTTTTTTTAATTGTCACATGAATGTAGGAATAGCAAAGGCCTTTTCAAAAAGATCTAGCAGACGTTAGCCTATATTTGCAGTTTTTTTCAAATTTTGATTTTTGGGGAAAGTTATAGTTCATATACCTCACAAAATACTTTTGAGTATGTCTTAGGCAAAAACAGATGGCACAAAGTTGTTTATAGAGAAGAATCTGGGGGGAAAAATTTTTAAAAGTTAGTGGAGTGCATTGGGTAAATAAATACGCTGATCTCAGAGATAGTTCCTTTTATAAAATCTTGTTTCCACAGTTCTTTTTTTTTACTCTTGTACCATTTTCATTCCTTTCTTCATTCCTCCTGCCCTCTGAAGGGCAAAGCCAAAACAATTTTTGTGTAACTGTACTTTTTTAACTTCATGTTTGCATATGTCTGATTTTTAAGTTGGACCTGGCAATTCATCTCATTCCCAACCAGAAGACCACCTTATTTACAGTTAATTAGCCATGTATCATGGAGCCTCTCTCTTCATTGGGAAATGTCACTTCCTTATTCAATTCCCTTCCCCTCCCCCAAGGGCCCTTTTACAAGGGAATGAATTCTGTTAAACTAGTACTTTCTTGCCTTGGTTCTCCTCAAAAGCCTTCAGGGAGATAATCTTAAACTGTTCTTTACACAAGTAGTATGATCATAATTATGTGATGTTTTGATATAGAAGTAAAAAATCAGCCTTTGATGCTGTGACATGTGTTTAAGGTTTGACCTTCGGGTCAATGACCTTTACGCTAAGAATTATACCTGTCAGCTCCCTGATCAAGACGGTGACTTTCAAGTATTTTCCATTCCTTCTCTGAAAGTGTTACAGGAAGATTTTGATAATAACGATTTCATACGGTAGATCTTACATTTTACTGTGCGAAATTTTTTGTTAATAGAAACACCTTTGTCAGTATCTTCTTCCAATCTCTTGATGTTCCACCTGAGGGGGGAGGAGGTAAGAAATATTAAAGTTCTAGCTTATATTGGGATAAACCACAAATCTTTAAAAAAAGAAGAGCCTTTATCCCCTACTCTGTTTAAGATAGACATATGAATTTATGTTTAAATTTGTGTTTTGGGGTATAGAGATTTAAGCCCTGTGAAGAGGAGTTAGAAATTCTGACTGGTTTTTAGTCAGAATTTGGATATTTTTTCTTATTTCAAAAATTACGAAATATTCCAGATATGCTGAAAACTAGAGCGTAATATAAAAACATCTGTGTTTTTCACTGCCTAACATAAAAAAACATGACAAGTATTATCTAAGTCATCCAGGAATTATATTGAACAATCAATATAAAGTACTACTACTGACACATTTATTCAACACTTAATATATGAAGGATAATTTACATACATTATCTCCTTTTATTCTTCCAGTAACCTTATGAAAGGGTTCTTTATCTTTCTATGAAGAAACTAAGGATCAGAAAGCTCAAATAATAAGCTAGTGGTCATACTGACAGAAAGTGGTAGAAGTCAAGAGTTTGAACTCTGATTTGGGTTAGTCTTAGACCCATACATGTTCTTCAGTGTATACACACTACCACTTTGCAAGAGAGACTTTAATGTATTGTGATGTAGGAAGGATTTGGATGCCCATTTTTTGTGGCATTAAAAACTTTTCACTAAAAAATGAATAGCTACTTAATAAAATCCAGTGGGGATATAATAGCTTAATTTATTTAAGAAGTCATTCATTTAACAGATATTTACAGTGCCTGCTACATACCCAAACACTGTTCTAGGCACTTGATATGTGTTTATGAAACAGACCAATTCCTGCCCTTGTGGTACTATACTCTAGTATGGAAATCAGACAATAAGTAAAATGTACAGTGTTTTAGATGGGTGAAGTGTTAAACAGAGGAAAAAAATATCTTAGGGAAGGGAAAATAAAATGATAGTGTTCAGATTAAAAGTTTAGAGAAGTTGACCAGGTTACCTTTGAATAAAGACCTGAAGGAAGTGAAGGAGCTAGATATATAAGGAGAGCAGGGTCTGGTCCAGGAGCGTGCTGATGCGGAGTAGTGATGGGACAACATGAAGATGAGGGAAGTGAAAGGAGGTAAGGTGTTGCACATTGCAGATAATGTAGGGAGTTGCTGAACACGTGAAGACTTTAGCTTTTACTCTGGTGAGCCACTGGGGTTTTCAGTAGAGAAGGACAAGATCTGACTTAAGTTTTCAGTGCATCTTCTGGCTGCTGTGTTGAGAGTATATTGCAGGGGGTAAGAGCAGAAGCAGGGATATTAAGTAGAAAGCTGGTGAAGTAATGCAGGCGAGGGGTGGTGGTGGCTTGGACTGAAGTGTTAAGAAATTATTGGATTCTGAATAGGTTTTAAAGGTATAGCTGATTGTGGAGGTGTCAGAGGGACAGAAATCAAGGACTTTGGCCTGAGCAGTTAGAAGAATGCAGTTCCCAGTACCTGCAATGGGAAAGTCTACAGGAGGAATACCAAGAGCCCCAGTTTTGGTTATATTAAGTATGAGATGCCCACGAGCTGTTCAAGTAGCTCCTTGAAATACAGTAAGTCCCCTGTGTATGAATGAGTTCTGTTCAGAGAGTGCGTCTGTAAGTTCAGTTTGTTTGTAAAGTCCAACAGAGTTAGCCTAGGTACCCAACTAACACAGTCGGCTATATAGTACTGTACTGTAATAGATTTATAATGCTTTTCACACAAATGATACATAAAGAAACAAGCAAAAAAATAAACATTTTTAATTTTATAGTACTGTACCTTGAAAAGTACAGTAGTACAGTACCACAGCTGGCATACAGGGGCTGGCTTTAAGTGAACAGGCAAGAAGAATTACTGACTGGAGGAGGGAGAGGAGATGGAAGATGGTAGAGCTGAAGGATTGTCATCAATAAGAGACGGAGGGCAAGCTGCAGTTTTAAGAACGCACGTTCAAATCTTTGAAAGTTCACAACTTGAAGGTTTGTATGTAGGGGACTTTATTTAAAGTTGGAGTTAAGAGAGGACAAGCTGGAAATAAAAATTTGACAGTTATTGACATGATCATATTAAAAGCCATGAGAGTAGATGAGATTACCTGGGGAATGGATATAGATAAAACAGAAGAGTACAAGAATTAAGCCTGAGAGTAAGCCAACATTTAAAAGTTAGGAAGGGGCTTCCCTGGTGGCGCAGTGGTTGGGAGTCCGCCTGCCGATGCAGGGGACACGGGTTCGCGCCCGGTCTGGGAGGATCCCGCATGCCGCGGAGCGGCTGGGCCCGTGAGCCATGGCCGCTGAGCCTGAGCCATGGCCGCTGAGCCTGCGCGTCCGGAGCCTGTGCTCCGCGGCGGGAGAGGCCACAGCAGTGAGAGGCCCGCATACCGCAAAAAAAAAAAAATAAATAAATAAAAGTTAGGAAGACCAAGAGCCAATCAGCAAAGTAGGAGAACACCAGGGAAATATAATGTCCTAGAAGCCAAGAGAAAAGAGTGTTTCAGAAAGAGAGAGCCATTTACTGTGTCAAATGCTAAAGAAAGGG